GCCCGTACAAGCTTTTAAGGAGGGAGGGGGGGGTGGGGTTCTTATAGGGTTGCCACTTTTGAGCCAGAGGTGAGAGTGAGTCATTGCGAGGGGTGTAATGAGCACTTCATTTCTTTTTTCGTGAGAAAAAGTTTATCCGCGAATTAGCCGGCGAAAAGGCGGGGGGGGGGGGGGGGTGGGGGGAGGTGGTGGTGAGCACTAATTTGTACGGGTGTAGCTACGATATTGACTATGTTAACGAAATAAATCTTAATATATTTATGTTGTCGAGGAAAATTACCATGTGCCCATATCGCAAGTAGGCCTACTATACAGTGCGTCCCAGAAAAAACGAAACCGAGAATTAATCACAATTATAAATAATAAATGACACATATTTGTAAAGCATAGATCCTCCTCTTTCATTTGATGTAACTCATATGATGCATATTTCACGCACGAGTGATTAAAAACAAATTGAAGAGAGGGTATCAAAAAGTCATTTGGCGGGCGTTATCTGAATTTCAAAGAGAAAATCACATTTCTAGAAAGTTTATTTTCTGCCCTTTCATACGACACCTCAATCAGGAATAACAAAGTTCTGTTTATTTGAATTGGTTTTTACTGGTTGCCTGCCATAGCAACGAGCAGACTTGACAAAAGACTTAACTCCGTTTCGTTGACAATCAGCCATGCACAAAGAGGACGAAAGAGCCCCCAGAAGCTTAGGGGTTTTGGGCATTAAATTTCCATCAGATTAGCATCCAGTGGACCGCCTTAGGGCCCTAGATGGGGTCCAGGGGGGCAAAGCCACTGGATGTTCAGGGGTCTTGTTATGCCGACATGTTTTGATCGAGTTATGAAATAAAATTATTTGAATTTAATGGAATTGAATGACAATACGCAATCGAAGACTCGAATCATATCACATCCCCAAAAATCATACTTTCCCTGCGCGTCTCAAATGTCTGACGGACAATCTGTGCGGAAGAGGTCTCGCACCAATAGTCCGCCTGCCGCACCGAATGTCCGTACTCTAGTCCACACGTATACATAGTCACTACAAGTATAATTATACTTAATGAATGAAACGACTGGATAACCCATATTCAGCTTTGCGAGCTAGCTAGGAATGACACTACAGGTCTTCCCGGCGCGGATCCAGGGGTGGGGGGGGGGGGCAGCGAGAGGGCCTTGACCCCCCCCAACCGCCAACAAAAAATGAAGAGAGAGAGAAAGAAGGTAAAGCGGAGAGTAAGGGAAAGGAAGAAGAGGAAGAAGAAAAGAAAAGGGGGAAAAGAAGGTGATCGGGGGGGGGGGGGCGAAAGGCCTTTGCCTCCCAGGCTGTTGCCCCCCCCCCCCCCCCTCCCAGCAAAAAGAAAGAGATAAGGAAGAGAAGGTAAAGAAAAAAGGGAAAAGACGAGATAAAAGGAAGGAAAGGAAAAAGGGGATATCAGTTGCAGTTTTCCCGCGAACAAGTTACGGATCGGGGGGGGGGGGGCAGCAAATGGCCCTTGCCTCCCACCTTCTACAGCAAACTTAAAAGAGAGAGAAAGGAATAGATGGAAAAGGGAAAGAAAAGAAAGGTACGGGAGATCAATTGTGTTTTTTTTCCCACCAACGCGGTGTGGATCGGGGGCGAAAGGCCTTCGCCTACCCTCCCCTAGCCCCTCAGCAAACAAAGAGAGAGAGAGAGAGAGAGAGAGAGAGAGAGAGAGAGAGAGAGAGAGAAGGAGAGAAAAGAAGGGAAAGGGAAAGAAGAGAGAAGAGGAAAGGAAGAAGAAAGGAAAAAGGGGAAAAGAAGGAGATCGGGAGGGGGTCGAAAGGGCCGTGCCGCCCATGCTGTGCCCCCCCCCCCGCAAAACAAGAGAGAAGGAAGGAAAGGGAAAGAACCAAAAGAAGAAAAGAAAAGAAGGAATATCAGTTGCAATTTTCATGCACACAAGATGTGGATCGTGGAGAAAGGCCTTTGCCTCTGCCCCTGAATTCAGTTTCCCCATCCCACGCGCAGCGCGGAAGCTTAGACCTTTCATTAAGTTATTATAGAAAGAAGACGATTTGTTGTATACCGTTCTCTACTCTTAATCCTAATTGTCTGAATTCAGTTTCATCCCCTCTCGCGCGAAGTGCGGGAGCTTCAAGGTTTCATTAAATTATTAGAAAAAAAGACGGTTCATTGTATCGACTCTAAATCATTGTCTGAATTTTCAAAAATGTTTCTTTGTCCAATAAAAAGTCACAGTTCGAAGGGAAAAAAATTGCTGGCCGACCGACATTAAAAAAATCCCACCGACTTCAACAAACAATGTTCACGCGAGCGAAAATGAGACAATCGGAGCAATATGTTTCTCCCTCTTTCCTTTCTCTTCTAACTCTCGCTTACCTTCCTCTAATTCACCTCCTTCTCTCCCTCTCTCTCCTTTTTCTTTCTGTAACTCTTTTCTCCTTCTTTCTTTTCACTTTCTCTATCTCTTCCTTATGTTTTCCTCCATTTATCCTTATGTTTTATGTAATTTGTATTCTATGTATGTTATTCATTTCATACTTTTGTATTTTGTATGCATTTGAATATTTTGGTATGATTGTATTTATATTATAAATTTTGCATAAGTTATGAAATGTTTATGTAATATCACCTGGAAGGAAAGTTTCTTCATTCTTCGGAAGCTCACACTGATCCTTTATTCTATAAACTTAAAACACTAAAAAATTTCGATCTGAACACTACTCAAGTAGCAGTTATTATGTTTAAGTACATTAATAATCTGCTTCCACCATCCTTTGATAACATGTTTAGGTTTAATAATTCCGTTCATTCATACTCTACTCGCATATCTGGAAACTTCCATCTTACAAACCCCAAATTATCAATAACACACAAATCTGTTAGACATTCTGGCCCGGACATTTGGAATGATTTACCCGACAACATAAAGTCTTGTTCAACCATCTACTCCTTAAAAGCTACACTTAAACGACAAATAATACAATCATATGCTCCCCCTCTCTAAATTAGTATAACAAAACCGTGACTTATTTATTCTTTATCATGCAACTGCTCACTGCACCTGCACTTGCACCGCACCCTCTTGGTCACTCAGTTTTTCGAAGAGAGTTATGTCGCCAATTCTTTTTACGAGGCCGCCATCCATCTCCAGCCTAACCGCTCACGATGGTGGTCTCCTGCATTCCGAATTACCTCTCTAATTTATTGAAAATATTTCATATTTCTTATGTTATTGTATGCTTCGTACAGGTTTATCGAATGATATAATTGAACATGATTTTTCATTTAATTACTTTTGTAAACATTGTATTCATTGTATTTGTTATTGTTCGAAATTTTGTACTTTGACTTTGAATTTGTATATTTTTGAACGCAGAAATAAAATCAATCAAACAAACAAACAAACAAACAAGAAGACAATACAATTATATTCTATTCTATTCTATTCTATATAGGTCTAGGCATTTATTACAAAAGGAAAATGTGCACTTTCTGAAGGGAAAATTGCACTTATTAGAAAGGGGAAAAGGGGCACGTGTCAAAGTAAAAGGGACACCTATATTAGAGATGAAAAGGGGTACTATATAACTTATAAGAAGAGGAAAATTGTAATTATTACAAAGAAAATTGGGCACTTGTTGAAGTAAAATGAGCAATCAGCCTTGAATATGGACACTTATAAGATATGAAAGGAGCACTTAATATGAGGAAAGGAAGGGTACGTATAACAAAGAAAAGGGGCCACTTAGCTGAAGCGAAAAGGGCACTTTCCCCAAAATAAAAGGGACACTTTTGGGATACTTGAAAAACAAATTTGGGGAGGAAGAGTGTGCCCCCCCCCCCCCGAACGACTGTTTTCACCGTATACACAAGTCATGAAAACGTAAGTATGAGCGGACCAGAATGTTGACTTTAAGTATATCCCAGACCAAATTATGATAACTAGGAGTTTCAAAGACCTCACGTTAAGTCGGTGTGGAAATGGATTTGGAAATAACGCCTTATATAAGTCCTTGATTTCCTGTTGACAAATGACTAATGAAAGAAAGAGTTAACAAGAATGTGGGAAGAAGATGATCGAATCGAGCCCCTATCACACCCCCTCTCTATCCGTCGGCCTCGTAAGTACACCCCCATAAAAAATAAAAAATGAAAAATGAGAGTGAACTTTTATCAATATCCGATAGAAAGTAGGAAAGTTATGGATAGTTGAGGTGGACTTGTAAAAACAAGCACACCCCGAAGCATACAAACAAACATCCAAAAACATGAATATGAAATCTACGTACAACATGTTCACAAGGTATACACGAAGTTTGTGAACAATTTTTCTTTTCTAGTTACAGAAACTGAAAGGAAAAAGAGGAAGAAGACTAAATAAGAAGGCGATGTTTCCTGAAAAAAATGGAAGATTTTGTTGGTGTATTATGGCAATCAGTCAACTTTGACTATCAATAAAGTTTTCCTTCGAGTATGAACTTTAAATATGAAAAATTAACTGACCTCTCTCTTTTATGTATTCCTTCTATTGGTGTCCCTGTATTTCTGTCATTTTAAGATGAAAGCAAATTATTTATTACTATTAATAATGATACCATGCCAGGAAGATGTTGACCTTGTTGAAATGAGCGTCATAATTGACTAGAAAACATATTTATATACACCGTATAAGGAACGGTCATCAATGGAACTATATACCACGTATTCATTTACCAGCCGTTTACATTTATTGAAAGAATGCTTTGAATAAATAAAAATGATCTTATATCGGAAATATTTGATAATTAAATAAGTAATGAAAATAATATACAGGAATTTGTAAGGTTTGATGTTTAAAAAACGCTATATTAGGTTGAATGAACATACGATTCTTGGCCTCATTTCAAATAGGCCCTGATATAAAACTAGAAGTTGCCCCACGGAGAATGCACACAGATAATGGTTGAACGCGTTATTTGTGTAGGGAGGGTTAATGCATGCGCACAATGCATGCACTACCGGTATATATTTTATGTGCATTTTGCGAGTTAGTTCGAGCCGCTCCCAGATTACCTAGTTACGGACACGACTTCCAGATGTCGACGACCTTTTCAAGCTGATTTACGGAGAACAAGTTATCTGTAAGTATAGTAATATAGAGCAATATAATCGTTTTCACATTATGATGATTATGACTAAATTTGCATGTAAATGCATTATTGAACGCTTGTCTCTAGTTAATCAATTAGAGAAGGCATATCAAATTGAACCGTTTACTCGCGCCGAGTCCATATCGTGTGTACCGACGCCGCACCGCGACGACCTCTCCGTTAGAAACGGTACCGGTCGGGTGTGTGAACATGGTCGATAGACTGCAGTAAAAGAAGGCGTGTCTAGAAAGGAATGTGAATTAATGTATCTGCGATCCATTTAAAATTTAGTAAATGACCTAAATGCTTTACATTTAATCACACCAGCTTTAATAGAGTTGTAGTTACTCCATATTGTCACTGTCTGCCATTGAATGCACACATGTCTAGGTCTACTTAACGCATTGACTGAGCTCTGAACAGTGAGTTTAAAATGTGCTCTGACTGAGTCTGAGTCTGATTCATTGGTATAAAACTTGGCGCTAGTCTAGGCTAGGCTAGTGTCCCGGGTAAGTGTTCTTTCGTATCCATTTTTACCCGTAACTCCGGCGTGGAGATACCCTACTAAAACATACCAAAAAATCAACTTAATCTTCATCAATAAAAGACAATAGCTCAAATAATGGTCATGATTTAAAGTCGTTATATTTCTTGCCCCTTTCGTGTCAATTTTCTTGCCCCTTTCGTGTCAATTTTCTTATTTTGGGGGGAGTATTTATCCTAAAAACGAAGACATTATAATATACACTTTCTCACAGGTTTCACAGCAAACCGCTGCACAATTACAATACAATTGCATATACCATACCGACGAAGGGGTGCGGGCGCGAAAGCGTGCGTGAAGTTATCGACTGTAATCTGTAATTATTACGATCGCTAACTTCACGCACGTGGGCCCACCCGCACCCGTTCGGATCGTCGGTATGCAATTGTATTGTATTTGTGCAGCGGTTTGCTGTGAAACCTGTGAGAAAGTGTATATTATAATGACTCAGGTTTTTTAGGAAAAATACTCCCAAAAGAGATAAGAAAATCGACACAAAACAGGTAAGAAACATAACGACTTCAAATCATTAATTGAACACTTGATGAAGATTTATTTGATTTCCGAAATGTTTGAGTAGGGTATCTTAAAGCCGGAGTTACAGGTCAAAAATGGTTTCGAAAGTACACTAGCGCCTAAAACTGAAGTTAAATAATTTAACTTTTAAGGATATGCTGACAAAATTGTACAAAATCGAAAATTGGCCTGAAATATCAAGTTGAGAGTGTGTTATTCTCTCAGCTGATTGGGTGCGCGACACAGAAACAGTCCAGATAGAGGACTAGACTCTAGAGAATTCTTCGTCTTTACTTTTTGTATTCATACTTCATACAATTTTTATTATTATTCATAACTTGATGCATCGGTAAAGCCATTAGAATGACTCGCCTGGAGTGAATTGGCAATAGACCAGTTCACGGTTAGCACATCACTGCAATGACCCCGAATATCCACAGATCTTCAAAACATGAAGAGGGCCCACTTTGTACATTTTGAAATAGTTACTCCTACATCGATGGAGATGCTACATACTTAGCCTTTGTTTCCCCTTTTCAAAGAATACTTCCACCTGTGTATCATGGAGTGCTCTGCTTGTGCATAACTGAATAGTGATTACATAACTTTCATGAGCACGTATCCAGTATTCCGTCTCCGTGAATTTCACAATTCGTTCTGCAATGATCTTTATCTGCTCATGCTCAGACTGCAACCGTGAACTGGCTTATTGGGTGCACAACACTTTCAAGTCTATTTGTCATTTCTCTATTCTATATATTTAAACAAACTGTATTGCACTTTTAAATGCCTCAGCTTGCATTTGATACCGACTGATATTACTCATATAGTTTTAAGATTTAATACTGAGAGACTATGACAACTGAGAGGACAATAATAGATTGAAGCGCTGTGCTGATGGCTGGCTGCTAATGCGACGTTTATTATATTCCTATTCTGTTCTCTCGCCAGAACTTCTGTCTACAAACACAATGGCCCGAATTCACAAAGCAAGGTTTGAGCTCAGACCAAGGTTTGACCTCAAACCTCCTTTTGTTTCGCCAAACCTCCTTCTGTTATTTACAAACCTGGTTTGTAAATAACAAAGGGAGGTTTGGCGAAACAAAAGGAGGTTTGAGGTCAAACCTTGGTCTGAGCTCAAACCTTGCTTTGTGAATTCGGGCTAATGTAGATGGATCGGCAAGGTTCTGTGATTCATAAATTTTGCACAGTTTAAAGGAGTTTTAGTTTTTTTCTCTTTATTTTAAGCTCTTTCCTATGTTTCTGTTTAAACTATATTATGGAAAATTTTGACCTACTGTACATGAACATGTGTGTACAACTAGTAACAGCAGTATGGCTCTGAATTGCCTGTGCATGCAACATCACTGAAATATTCTTCTTGTGTACAAGTTAGCTATCTCTTTCACAACAAAAGTTTGCTATACTTTCAAAGTCAGTGAAGTGTTTCAAACACAATAAAAGCGTCCTGGGGTTTTGTCGAGTTGCCAGGGTCTGCATTGATATATTGATTGAAACTTTTCATAGAATAGAAGGCTCTTTTTGAAGTTCCTTCATGTGCAAGGTACAGGGAATAATTTGCCACAATTTTTTTGATTAGCAATTTTAGCTGATGGATAAATATTTCAAATGAAATTCTGTACATTTCTATGGAAGAAAACTGCTACACAAAAGATATTTTGTATAGCAGTCATGCAAAAATGCATAGCAAATTGCGATGCGATACCAGGAAAATTATTCCCTGAGGTAGATATTGATTTGCTTATGAATGGTGACTTTTGTTCATTTATACATGTGTGTATATGTACACAATACATCTACCTCCTGGGAAGAATAGGTAGAGATTCCTTGAATAGATGTCTTTTTATTTTCTCTTCTTGAATACAAATTGTACAGAGCTTTCAGAGAATTCACAGAGCTTCCCCCCCCCCCCCCCCCCCCGTCAACCCTCCCCCCTTATAACTTTTTTTTTATAAAAGGTTTTTCAGAGCTAGATAATGATTGTTGAGAATTATTTGTTTGTGGAATGTTTCTGGAAGTATATAGGTTTTGCTATCCAAGGAGACCTACATTGTACATGTATCTATGATTATCCCAAATCCTTTAATATGCTCTGTCTACTCGGAATACACCATAGTACATTTAATGATACATGTACATGTACATGAAGGTCCTACAGGAAGAAAAAAAAAGGGGGGGGGGTTGTCTATTTCAATATCTTCAAATAATCTATACCTAATTGTACAGGGATATATCATATATTAAAGTTTGCACTTAGTTGCTCCAGTAATCAAACTCATTTACTTGTGTACGTTGCACCAGCCATCAGGTTCATTCGCCCTTCCACCCCCTTCCCCATTAGATTACGATAGAACATATCTTTATACATGGTGCAATATTTGTGATAGAGAATGGGCTCTGGTATGATTGATATTTGAAATTGAAAAAATTATTAACTGTCTAAAAAATGAATGTACTGGTACTGCTATTTAAAAGCTGAAAGAAGAATTTAGCAAGCAAGATTTTTCATCTTGAAATGTAGGATATTTCTCATAAACTTGAGCAATTAAAACAAACAGCATGATACAAAATAAACAAACAAAGAAACAAAAACACAAAACAAGCCAACACCCCCCCCCCCCAAAAAAAAAAAGTACAACACAAAAATACAAAACAAAACCCTCTACATCTCTAATGATATTTCTTTTATATATTTGTTGAATGTGTACATAATTTTTATCTTCACAGTTTACTGCTTAGAGACTGGTATGCGATTTAGACAATTTATCTTGTAGTGAACATTGTAATGGTATATGTACATGTACCTATTGTATGTAGTATGTACATGTTTCTTCATCATATCAATCTGAATGTATGCCTATCTGGATAAGGTACTCAACTAGACTTCAAGTGTGCACATAGATTGTATTTTTAGTTAATTATTATACACATTATTGGATGAGCCCACTCTATCCCACTTATACATACAAGGAAAACAGCACACCCAGCAAAATATTCTTGCAGGATATTTTTATAAGTGTTAGTTCATGTACCAGACTTTGTCCTTGTCTGTACTTTTTCTTTATCTTACACATATCAAGAATGAAAGCAAGAATTTTGGTCCTTGACAACAAATATTTGAGAGATAGTTTCCTCCACAATAGTCTGGTATCGTGGGTGTAAGCATTGACGTCAGTCTGAGAGGAGACTTTGGACTCTGTGGTTCAGTTTGGGCTTTCATTCATAACTTTTAGAGTCTGTGAGGGAATAAAGAGGCTATAGGGCTGTTCACACAGGAATCGGTGCTCAGATCTAAGAAATACATAGACTTTAAGTGCAATCAGAATCTCTTCTCTGTTTTTTAGGTGAAACTATTATCATATTTTTAATCCAGTCTTTTATTTTGTGCATGCACATACATGTAGATATCATTTGTTATATACATGTAACTAGTTGATATACCAGTAAAAAAAAATATCATTACATGGATAATGAATTACAAATTGAGATAGAGATCGATATCACAATTTTTTTACTATGATGCAACAATGAATACATGCGCTTGTAATCATTGTTTGTATAGCTTGTTGCACTTGCTTGTTTGCCCTGTACTGAAGAACTTTAAACATTTATATTTTAAAGAAATCAGTATCACATATCAGTTTGTAGTCTACACCTGTGCATTTCAACCACTGGCTGCCAGACATGTTTGAATAAAACCTTTATTGAATTGAAGAAAAACAAATATTTGGATGAAATTTGGATCACTTCTTTCTAGAGCCAAATATATGGAAATACCCAACCCACAATAGTTTCTAAACAAATATGCTTTAGGCCTACTCATGTATAAAGCATTAAGTACACATTCTTGAGCTTTGAGCGCTTATCAAAGTACATGTACATGCACATGTACACGTAGGTCTTCGAATGTTCAATGATCCAGAAAGACCTGGGAGCACGTTTCTTAATACTTTTTTTTTCTTCTAACCTTTGAAGGCCTACTTCAATTCAGTTCTGGCTCAATAAAATTGATTTCTACGGTTTAGTTGCTTGTTTGTCTTTATTTGTGTCATGGAACAGGAATAGTTTTCATATTGGAACAGGAGGGAGTTCCATATTATTTGGTGCTTCACGAGTTTCTTGTAAAAATACATTGTTGGGTCAATTCTAAGAAAAATCATCTTTTTAAAATGATACTTGTACATGCCAGTAAAAGGCTCAAAACAACGTACAGTATGTATTACCAATTTGTGTGACCTTGTCTAGATTGATTGGATCAATTTGTGCTGGTTTATATTTTGTATAACCTGTCCTTCATGTGATCAAAGTTAAACACAGTGTAGATGAGCAACAACTGGTTCTACATGTTCATGGGTGTATATTGGTATTAGTAATTAGTTATCAGTTATGCATGCACTGTGGTACAAGTTCAGTTTCAGTACCGGTAGTTAAATATTAACTTGGAACACCAGTGTCGGGCTATTACCAGACCCTCTAGTTTTCATTTCTGGATCTTTCAGGCTTTATATTCAACTGAAAAGTACCAAGAACTCATTTTAATCTGCTGTTGTAAAAATGAGATATATCCTCCAAGTGATTTTTTAATTATTTCATTCCTTTTTCCTCTGAACCCTTTTGAAGTTTTCCTGACCTAAATTACTCTCCAGAAAGAAATATTGGGGTCAACAGCTTCCAGTGTTCTTTTATGTGGGTATGTCTCATTGTAGACTATTGCAAACTATATATCTTGAAAGGTAAAGACCAGTTTTAGAAATGCCCCCCCCCCCCCCCCTCTAAAAAATGAAATACAAATGATACAAATTTTGCCGAGAAACTGCCTACTAATTGATATATTTGATATATTTGGTAAATTATTATATCTAACTAGACCGGATAGATATCGTGCAAGTGTCGCGTAGTCCCATAGAGGGGTGTAGGCCTATACATCTTTCTGTGTACAGTGCTTGTAACTTTACCAAGACTGGGCCAAATTTCTTATTATTTTGATGATTCCAGAACTTTGCAGTACACACCAATACTTACATGTATATGCTAGATGATCAACCTTTTCTGATCAATTCCACAACGTTTCTTTCACAATGCAATCGCATGACCATAACTGGTCTTTATCTTTAATTGAATAACCCCCATTTTTTTCTATTCGTTGTTGCAGGTTTTGGCAGGTGTAATAAGAAGCACCCCTTACCATGTGGGAAAACGTGAACTTTCGTCGTCTCCTGGGGGGAGCATCTAAAAATGGCTACCGGGGATCAGCGGATTTCGACACGAGAGACGTCGATGAAGTACCTGTGATATTCCAAGAGCCCTTTGTCAAAGTACGTCGTATTAGAATAGTGTAGGGACGTAAAATACATTAGGGTCCGAGTTGTAGAAGGATCAGGTTCTCAAGTGAGAAGCAATAGTGATTAAACTCATTTTAATGATTCTTTTTCTTTTTGAGTGACTCAAGCCCACTGCAGGACTCAAAATCTTTGGGAGTACAGAGTTCTGGGAGGCAAAAAAAAAGGGGGGGGGGGTGGCAGATGAAAAGTTGTTTCATCGTCTGTTCTCTCCCCACAGTCACACTGATGGGGCATTGCAAGAAAGTTGCGATTGATTGCAAGTTGCAAAATTTGCAACTGATATTTGCAATCGATTGCAACTCAACTTTCTTGCAATGCCCCACTAGTTTCCTAAAATTCCTATTATTTTGTTCGGATTAAAGTTTTAACAATTAAATTAAGTTAACTAGATCTAGCTTTTATTCCCCCTCTTCTCTTCCTCTCTCTTGATTTGGGGGATTTGCAATTGATCGCAACTTTCTTGCAACACCCTATTTATAGTCCCTCCATCTTTACTATAGCTCCATTTATACTGTGATTGATAGGAATGAAAAAGATGTTCATTCAAATGCAGATTATAAAGCTAATCATATAATTACTGGAAGTTTAAAAAACTTTATTTTAAGAAATCCCTTACCCATGATGCTTTCTAAGATTTGTAGACAGATATGAAACATACGTTTAGTTATATAGCTTCGAGTGTACACAGTTGGTACAATGTACAGTATGTAAATACATGTATTTTCTGTTAAAAAGATGCACATTTTAGAATTTGGTTTCAAATAATAAAAGTCAAGCAAGATGTACATGTTGGACTTTTAAAAGTCGCTTTGAAATATCCAAGAATTAAAGAGTTTATATGTATTTTCTTCATGGATTTAATAATGAATTGTCTAAAAGAGTTCTAGAAAAATGCTCATCAAGGATTGCTATTTTGTGATTACAGTATGGATACAGGGAGCCGCACCATGGCCTCACGTACTACGCCAAGAGTTTCCTGGAGCTTCACAACGAGAGTCTGAACGTCTGGACCCATGCCGCTGCCTTCTCTATACTCCTGTACCAGTCCTACCAGTTCTGTTCTCCGTTGGACGTCATGAACGACCCCTACGCACTGATCTTTGCTATCTTCTGCGCGTGTTGCTGTACGTTCCTCTTGCTGAGCGCGATCGCCCATCTCTTCCACTCACACAGCGAGCTGACGCATTACACCTGCTGGTTCATAGACTACCTCGGTATGAGCATCTATGGCTTCGGTGGCTCCCTGGCTCACTATTACTTCTCGGCGCTTCCCTCGTTCATGCACTCTGTAAGCTGGTTCTTCATCCCCCTGCTGCTCGTCCTAAGCTACGGCGTGTGCTTCTGCTGTAGCTTCGCCAAGTACCGGTATAAGCGGCCATATCCCTTTGCAAGGAAGCTGTGGCAGTTGGGCTCGGTTGGGGCGGGTTACGTGCTCATCATCACGCCCATCTACCACCGCCTTCTTGGCTGTCTCTTCTCAGACCAACCCATGGACCAGGCCCTCTTCTTTCACTTCTTGCAGGTCAGCTTCATCTTGCCAAGCATCTTCTTCTTTGCAGCGCCGTACCCTCAGAAGCTGCAGCCGGGTAAGTACGACATCGTCGGTCACGGACATCAAATGTTTCACGTAGCCATGGCCTTTGTTTCCTACTACCAGATGAAAGCTGTTCATTTAGACTTCCTGCATCGACGTGATGAGTACTCCACCCATACTGATCCATCGATGATCCAAGCCATCTTATACATCACTGTCTTGGTCATCGCTGATATTATAACATTGTTTGTCTTCAGACATAAAGTATGGCAAAACATTAGCAAGGTTGATATGGATTAATGACGGTGAATTATTTTGTAATAAAATGGCAAACGAAAAACAGTTCTTTCAGTACAATTTGATATTTTCACAGGCTAATATGTATGTTTGATATTGAAAATGCAAGATTGTGATGCAAGGGAAATTGGGCTAAGGAATAGATTTATAGAAATGTTTCAACTCTGCTTTTTTGGCAGTACAGAAACCTTGAATCATGTGAAGTAACAGGAATTTTTATCCTTTTGCACCTGGCTGCATGTTATCTACATGAAGATTTAAGTTATGTCAGTGAAACCCCCCGAAATGAATAATTCCAAATTCATAGCATGATATTCTCATTACAATTGATGGAGGCAAATAATGAACTTACTGGAATGTATCCAGTGTATGAATTAACATGTCAATTGTCAAAGTTAATGATGAATGTTGGTAGTTGAAGCTCAAATTGTGCAAATGACGCTATCATATATTATAATTTAACTTTATCATGTAACAATGCAAATGTTCTGGAATTTTACTCAAGGTTTTTGACAAACGGTATCGTTAATGATGTTTTGAATAGCAGTACTCGTCTTCTTTTTCAGATCAATTCCAAAATGCTATTAAAGTATTTAACTGTGTAGAGATTGATGCATAATATGGCTTATTGTGAGTCTGAACACAAATGTGTGTAACCCCAATAGACTTTATGTACTGAAGTTCTTTAGCTTGATACTGCATACATGTGCACCAACTGATCCTAGAGGTTTTGTTATCAAGCGGTCTAATCACTTGACCAGAAATGCATGGCACTTCTGTCCGGTAAAATGGCGACCGTCTGGAATACTCTCAAAGGAAATTGAGAGTGTTCGCTGTAAAGTGCGCAATCATAACAGAATCCAGTGACAGATAATAAAACGCTTAGCGCTTCGGTCTGTTATGTTGTGATTGGTAAAGCAATTTATAAGAAACAGTTATTATTTTGATTACCAAAGTTCCTCTATACCACAGAGAGGTTTAGCTTTCAAAATTACTGGATGATTATTTAATTATTTATCAGTATGGGCCTTTTTTTATTTAACACTCTTGCTAATGTTCTACCAAGTAATACTCACCATTATTTATATATGATCAATAGTATTATATTATAATCTCCTAGGCTACCTTGAGCATTTAATTAAAATGGATAATGGCGATATATAAATCTCATATATTATTATTATTATTATTACCCCCACCCTTTTACCAAATATATTGGTATGCCTCAGTACTCCTTTGTTTGTTTTCTTTGATGACCTTCCAATCAATTCTAGTCATGTTCTCCATGCAATAGTATATTTGCATTGATTCTCCATGATGTGTGTGCACACATTGTATTTTTTCCAAATTCTATTTAAATTACAGTACGCTGAAAGAGAGTCTTGTATCAAACGGTGTGTGTTTACGTGTACATGCATGCATATATATAAAATCTAACTCCATTTTGAGGTAAACATGTTCAATTAAATGATGTAATTCTAGCCTCAGTGCTTTATGGTGTAAGATGATCTTATTCATGTGTTTAATGCTTTCATGTTTTAGGTTGGGCGTGTAATCTTGTTATATATCATATATTTTGAGAACATCTCTTTTTTAATTTGTAAATTAATTCTTGATTTCATAGTGCAGAGTGTTTGTTTTGTATATACAGGTATTTGCAGGATTTATTGCACTAGTCAGCATGCACATGTGCTCAGTCTTTGGTCCCCTTTGTAATACATCATAAAAAGCAGACACATGATTAGAGGCAGTGACGAGGCGTTGCGATGATGAAAACGATCATTTAACAAAATTGCAAATCGTTTGTGGCTGTCCTCTATGAGCTTTATATTCAAAGGGAATTTCATCTGTATGACTTGTGAATCTTAATAGGAATCTGTTGACTATTTATTAAAATATAACATGTATTTAATCCAAGGTGTATGAGACGGTTCTTCCATTTCCAATAGTTGGTATAGTGTTCCATGGTCTGTTGAGATCATGTCTGTTAACAGGAGGAGCATTGTAACATGCAACCTTTACAAATGTTAGCATAACATGGTTCACAGTAGACTCTGTGTGCCATCATCCACCATGTATATTCAGATATCATGTGATGTATACATTCAGATTGTTTTGTACATTATGATGAAATCATGGTGGTCTTGTGACTAAATTATTCATGTCAGCATGTGATAGATACTAAAAATATAAATATATTTTTGTTTCAATGCAATCACTATTAAAACAGGATATTATAAGTTATGTGTAATTGAAGCAAAAGAAGGGTCACATGACCTCATTCTTTGTTGTTTCAAACAAATTTGTATTATTTGAAGATGTATGATTTGTGTGATAAAAGAAAATTTATACTGGTAATGTTTGCATGCTGGTCTGTTAGCAATTTACTCAACCACTATGGATATTTTTGAATGATGAATGCATACAAGTAGGTTCTAAACGGCCTTGATTCATGTGATAATTTGGCTGCAAGACCTTGCATTGTGGAATGTTAGACCACTTTTGAAGGTTTTTTTTTCTTTCTTTTCGTATTTTTGTTTACAGGGTAACAAGGTCTGTTTCCAAGGACAATTAACACTTCTCATTCCAAATTATTATAAAACTTATTTTTGTTTGACATGTCCCTTGCTTATTTTTATTTGATTTAAAGTACTGGTTATTTCATTAAAAATATAATAATGGAAATAATGTGTGGGACTATATCAAAAGTAAGTGGGTTAAAATATGTTTTGTCTGCATATTTTAAAAGCACATTTGAATCGTGAAAGTGGTGTTTAAACAAACAAAACCGGTCACATTAATATTATTATTATTTTTTCCTTCATTTTTACGGAAGTGTATGTTCATCATGAGCTAACTGATGGCTTTGAGCCCTTGGTTGCACCATGTGATAATAAAAAAAGAAAAATATATGGTGAAATCCTTAATGTTTTCGTCATCAAAACTTTATCATGGGCAACCAAAAGGTTTTGTTTTTTTCTTCCCCAAAAGTGTAATACATATACACATTGTACTTGATTTTTGTTCGTCCAACACCTTTTATGATTACATGTAAAGGTACATGTAGATAAGATAATCTTATAAATCGATTTACACTTGTAATTTGTATACATATGTACAAGAATGACAAAGCATACAATTACGGAATTATTGGTTACAGAAGAGAAATCCTTTCAGGTGTTCACTTCAAATTTGATTTTTTTTTTTTTTTTTTTTTTTTTTTTTTTTTTTTTTTTTTTTAGTGGAATGCAATGCTTTTGATTTCAAGTTTTATGTGAATATTTTGGGTTGATAATTGATATCATGCAGCTGTTTTCTCATGTGATATTTATTATGTATATTTGTCTCATAACCTTACGCAAAAATAAACCTGCAAATTCAATGACTACAGTATTTCTTCCGTTGCCTACATAGTATACAGAGTAAGGCACAGGAGATATTAAAAAGAATTGCTTCAAGCTCAAGACTGTTTCCATCAACTCTGGATATATATTTATAAATTGTTGAAATCATGCAATCCTTAAATGTCCTCTTTTGAATGAAATCTTGTGAATCACTTATGTGGAGTCGGGATGGATATGAAAGAGGTCCCTTGTGACATACATGTACATCGATTTTATAGCATAGACTAGAGTAGACTACCGGTAGACTATGTGTACCGGTATGCAGAAGTTCATGATTTTGCCATATTATATACGGTAGACTCAGTAGTATCTATGTTTGCACAGCATGTCCATAGTCTACTTCCTTACATACAGAATGTATATTTGATATTGCAGGACTGTAGATATATCCTACTGGGTATTTTATAGGGATCAAGTTGAGAGGTGTTTCTTGGTTTGGAAAATAGTCAAAATACATTAAATTTACCAACAACGAAAAAAAAAAAAAATCATCTTTTTATTTTTTATACTTGTATTCAGCTGTTGGTTAGAGTGCAACTCTATTTGAGGGATGTTGAACTCATTTTAGTGAGTGTTATATTCATGAGCACTCCATGCATGTGCCTTGTTTCGGCTGCCCGGTGAAAAATGTCCTTACATGTACCGTTGTACGTGTATATCCATTTTTGTTCCCTTTTGATTCGGAGGGGGGCTTCATTTTTAGTTTATACATATTTGTATTTAGAAAATTTGTAAAACTCATTTTTTAGATGTTATAACATGTAAAATAGTCTTATTGGTGCAATGGATGGAAGTAACTTTTGATATCAAGTTGCATTTTGATCAGTAAGAATTTCATAGTTGGTTACTCTGTGAGGGCCTTTTTCGGGGCAGCCGATAATATTTTATTTTCCTATGTAGGCCTACCCTGTCTTTTTATTTGGGGGAGGGGAGATGAAAGGGTCTCCTAATCAAGATATATATTGATTTGTTAACATTCTGTATCATTCAGACTATATATAGAGTTGTGTGTTGACTAGAATTGCAGTTATTTGCATGGGTGTAAACTGTAGATGGTTTGTAAATTTGCTTCAAGAAAAATGTAGATATATTATGTTTAAGATTTCTCTTCTAAATTATATGATCGTTGGTGTCCTGAACACATCGTTTCCTTTCTTAGTGTAGAATGCTTTGAGCACTATTGAATTTAGCAAAATATCTATCCAATGCTTTGAATAGATAAATAATATATACATGTATTTAAATCTAATTATAATTAGGAATCTGATGACTGCTAAAAAGGTTGTGGAATTCGGTAGTTTTGATTAATGGTTATACTTGAAGAGTACAAAATCTCATATTCATAATTATCTCATATTTATCATTATCTCATATTCTGGGTGAATCAACAAGAAAGATATAACAAAATACTAATAGAAGTTAACTTTGGAATATTTAGGTTGTTTTTAATTGATTTGTCTGTCACCATTAAATATCAGTTGTTATAGTCGGCTCTCCCAATGTACATGTACATCTATACGTTTGTATCTTGAACAAAAGCGTTCTGCAACAAACTATTCACCTTTCAAAGTTCTGTGCATGTTGAAAAATTACAAAATGACAGAAAATTAGGAATTGCCTAAGAGGGGACAATCCTCTTTTCCTCTTTCAAAACTAATGTGAAGAACCTTTGCCCTATCAACTCGATGAATCCAGGAAGTCATTATCGATCTCAAATTCTCAACTTAAATGAGAATAAACTCACATGTGTTAAGCCTCGTCAGATATGCTGCAGTAAATCGTGGCATTAAAACAAATTATGACATTAATGTTATACGTCGCATTTCTCTGTCTCATGATACAGAGCTACGTGAATACATGTAGGAACTTTGTTGCATGAATAACCATCCATTGACACGTTAACAAAAACTCTCTGGTTTACTGCACCACATTTGAATGAGCCTTTACATATCCATGTATTCATGTCTGTGTTTCTATAACTACTGCAACCATCGATCGTTACATGGCAAGATACATGTGTTACAATCAGAAAGAAAGCTTGTAGATGTATATTTAGATATATTTATGCGGATAGTACTTTTAGAAATGCACTCTTGAATATTGTTTTTCCTCTGCACATTTTCATTTGTACATACACATCTGATAGACATGGAGTGATTAAAAAAAATAGTTTATATCTGTGATTAAAATGGAATCAGAAAACAAAATCAGACGAACGATGTCGACTCTATATTTGATTTAGAGTGTAGCATATTTAGCGGAAGATAATCACTGGAAAAGAATGATTTTTATACCTCCCAAGCCAGGAATGAAATGGTTTATGTGTCACTGAGCACTTGGGCCTTAAGGAGTTAAGTCTATGTTTCACTAGCCATTGACTTCAATGGGGTATTGGGTGGAGTTAAGTCTTTGTGTTGCCTGGAAAGTCTACATTTTTAAAAACATTTTGATATCAAATACTCATTTTGGCAAAATATGGAGTTACGTCTTTGTGTCACTAAACCCTCGATCTACTTATAACAACCTTAAATGTTATTTAGGATAGTTGCCATGTTGTATTACATTTTTTACCTATGCCAAAAATTAATGACCAGCCTTTCGAGAAAACTCTGAGCTCTCCCATTGCTCCGTGTTGATCAGCACCATGGAAAATGCAAACAATTTATACTATAAAGCAAGAAAAGAAGAAATTGTGCAAGACGAAACTTTGACAAAACCGAAACCACTTATGTGAAATTCTCAAGCATTTCCTGCTTGCGGAAATTTTTGTGGTTTTATAATAGAACAATCCAGTAGTGCTTTTAATACTCTCATAGATCCATACAAGCATCAGCTATCATTCAATTATCTAATTAATTGACATTATTCTATTTAATTGATTGACATCATTCTATTTAATTGATTGACATCATTCTATTAATTGATTGACATCATTTTATTAATTGATTGACATCATTCTATTAATTGATTGACACCATTCTATTAATTGATTGACATCATTTTATTTAATTAATTGACACCATTCTATTTAATCAATTTCTACACCAGGGATACATTTGCCCCCCTGTCCTTGTATGTAATGCTGAGTAGATTTGCATTTTACCAAAATAGTTTATTTCATCTTCTTCACTATTTATCAATGTTGATAATCTTTGAGGATTCAGGGACTCCAGTCATCCAAGATTTATTAAATTGAGATGGTCATTGTATCTGTATAGTAAACATCTGTGGATAAATAATTGACTATTTTTGGACAGGCAGACTAATCTACCAAGCGTATTAATTGACCGCATTCAATAATAGTTAGCTGAGCTTCATTGGGTATTCAGTGCAATGCTTGGGAGTTGGTCGAGTGAAAAATACCCTTTGAATAATAAACATGTTTTCTTCCATACCGGTATGTGGTCAGTAATATGGTTTCTCTTTCCTGTACAGTACCTGAAGTAGGAAACAACCAGGATATATCTGTGATCTCAATAAGAATAATGATTGTGTTCTAGGAGGCGTCTTATGTTACGTTATTAACACCAGTATCCTTGAAATGTCAAATAACCATATGGCATAGTCTCATATTAATCAGTCATAGCTCTATAGTTTGCACTTTTGTTACGTCCAGAATACTGAGTTATAAACTTGTGAACTTGGTCTTATTGACATGGAACAAAATTCTCAAAATATTTAAACCTAAGTATTCCCTATTTTTCAAGATATTGAACACTCCCAACTTCCATGTTCAGAATAAGGACGCTTATTCTGTGTTTAGAATATTGGCCCTTTCTAACCACTGTAGGCATGAATCAACAAAAATTAAAATGCAATTTCCCTCCCGATGCCAATATGGTAAGAATACTCCTCATGGAGTGGAGATGGTGAACACTGTTCATGAATAATTCTGATGACTTTGGTAATAATGATGACTTAGAGACAGTATTTTGTATTAAGCACGATATAAATCCAGATGTATCAGCTAAATTGATGTTTTATTTGGATTAGAGATAAACAAACCACTAAGCACAGGATATATATTTTTGGAATTAACCAGTGAAATACATGTATGTGGAATTGTCAGCATATCAATTTTACCCACTTTAAAGCAGTTGCCTTATTTGCTTAGCATATCATTAATGTAATTTGATAGTGTAGTGGTATGGTTTGATGAATGTACTCTGGTCTGGGGCGTTTCCTTTGTTTCATTCTGTGTTTACTTTCATGCAAACACTAGTTGAATTGATGTTTTATTGGGTTACGCTGTCTGTGCAATGTAATTGTACAGTGCAACTAAGTTAATAAAGTACAGCTGAGTGAAATATATCAGAATAATGTTTGCGTTATTTTCTTTGACGTCTTTCTTTTCTGTACTCCAAATTGTGAAGTGCTTTTATAACTGAGAGGAAATTGTGTTGTATAGAATACTGTATGCAGTGTGTGGCTTTGAGTGTATCCTGCATTGTATATTGAGGGTAAGAAAACTAACTTCATAACCCGTAGCAGTTACTTAAAGGTACGGTAATACAAAGTTTTGGGAAATTTTTCAAATGGCCAGATAGTGATTCTTTAAAAGGGTGATATATTTGGATGCCCCTGAGGATGTATTATATAAGCACTAGAAAAATTAACCCCTAAAACTCTTCTGCTTTCGAGTAAATTTTGATGAATTTCAAATAGCTTATAGGCCATCAAATGGTAGCTGCGACCATGAAAATCTCAGAATAGGGAATAGCCAATCGGTCGATTTTAGTCAAGAAACATTGATATCTTGACCTTGAGAGGGAGCTATATAACATAAAGACTTTATTATTTACCATTTCATCACTTTAGACTCGATTTCAACTGCGACAACAATCACTGAATATTGTTTATGCTTCCAATAACAGAAAACAATAGATTAAATAAGTGTTTATCAACCAAAATGTAGTAGATTAAAGTTATTATTATCATGTTATTCAGCAAAACAGCATACCAAAAACACAATTCCTCTTACATGAAAACAAAACTGTATAACCTTGGTAAAAAAAAAATAGACAAGACAAAAAACATAATTGCATCTTTGTTACAGACCTTGCTTCCTGGGGAGTGTTTCACAAAACTTGTCATCAGTGACAAATGACAGTTTTTGTTATAAGCTACTCAAATTCTTGCTTCTGATTGGTTATCATCAGATTTATCACTGATTTTTGTCACTTGTCATTGAAAAAAAGGCTTTGTGAAACGCCCCCTGAATTTGCCTAGGGCCAGGCAATAAAGCAATTATAATCACTGTGCACCATAAACCACAGTGATTATCTTTCTTCTACCTTATGGTCAGTTGCTTGGAATATTTGAGATCAATTCTGTTTTGAGATAAAAACCAAGGTCAAAGCTAATTGCAAATCAATTTAACCAATTTGAAAGTGCAGATTTTATGCAAGCTAATTTATTCCTATGTATTCTATACATGTACCGGTATTCGTTTTGTTCTATCCAAATTTGATGTCTAAAATGCGCCACAAGCCCCCCCCCCCCCCCCCCCCCCCCACTCGGTGTTATTTAGGGTACGCATATGCTCGTTCCCTTTTTTTGAAAGCACCCCCTATATCTGAGGACTCCCAACATTTCCGAAACCCCCTTTCGCGGGCTTTTTGCGGGATTTTCCTGCCTTGGAGACCCCCTAAATCATGAAAAATGCTCAATGTACCCCCCTAAATTCGGAATAATTTCTCAGGAGTCCAAAGAGACGAGATAAAAAAGAAAAAAAACCCCCTTTTTAAAGAAATCTCCGGGTGAAAAGTTAATACACCCCTTTTTTTACGATTCTTGGGCCGGACTTTGTCGCACGAATATAGTACCCCTTTATCGGACATTTTGGTAACACGCATGGGGTCCGTCCGTTCTCGGAATGGGGGGCCGGGGCACCATCTTCCAGCCTGCTGATACAAACTTTTTAACGTTAATTATCAAAAGTAACAATAAAAAAAAAGTCACAATTATATCAAAGGAACAGAAAAAAGTACCAGCAACTTAATTGGATTACAGCTAGGTAATGGAATATATTGACTTTGTCCATTGGGTAGAAGGTTAAACACTCCTCTGAAAAAGCAGAAAAGTGCCCTTAATTTTGAAAAGGGGGCTTATATAACAGATCAAAGTATAGAAAAGAAATTCAATAGGCAATATATAGGCCTACGAAATTTATCCAGATTTTTTTGTCATTAAATCGCTAACAAACAAACAATAACTACCACCTATGAAATAAACAAACATATAAATTGTCATAATATGTTGGTGTCTTTTTAATTATAATCCCTATTCCCGAATTCTCACCCCCCCCCCCCCCCCCCCCCAGAACAATGAATAAAAGGTCATATAGCTTCAAAGACAGGGGGCCCGTTATTGGGTTTGTTTATTAAAGATGAACCACTGACATTTTAAAGGGGAAGGGGTACGATTCGTTTTGGGGCTACACACCCCCTCCCCCCCCCCCCCTCAAAAAAAAAATACTAACGTATTTGGTCGGTTTTATGCATGCTCCGCTGGAAGTAAATAAGAGATGATGTCTTGACAAAAGACTAAATACGGTGACTGAAAAAGTTTCTGCTTCTAGAAACACTGACACTGACACTAAACAGGCAGACGTTGAATGGTTAAACTCAATTATGTAAGTATCAAGATATATAGAAAATAAGAAAGAAGTGAAACAAAAACAAGAAGGTTTCATTAGTTCATAAAACCATGATGTTTTGTTCAGATTTTGCGTCTCTGGGAAATTTTGTCTTTCATCATGCCCCACATACCTATATCGATGTAGGCCTAGGGCTAGACCGAAAACTTCAGTCTCTCTAATCGTCGGTTGTTCCACTGAGACTACGTCTGGCTCCACTAGACCTCCGATTATAGAGACTGAAGTCTGGGGACCTCTTTCTGTGAGGCACTGTACGGAACAAATGGTTCGGTTCGACCGGACCGCGATGAATGAGATATGCAACGAGATTTTCACTCTTTACATCCTCATAACTGCTGCAATTACAACACAAATTAAAAATAACATATATATAGCTTATTTGACTTACGATAGCTTGCTCATTTAGATCCTAAATTAATGATTAATCCGAGAAAGTCTCGTCGTCAACATTATCCGTCTTGGTTTTAGTTGATGAATATTCATTTTTTCTTTTCGAACGTCCAATAGCTACCGTAGCTACGTACGAGTCGGCCCAGCTTGACCAACGAACTCCCACGAAACGAGTGCTCTGATTGGCCATTTGGCTATGTTTTGGTAGGTGGACCCGGAAATATATCGGCCGCCGGGTAATATTTCGAATGCATGAACGTACTGCTTCGCGGATCTGAGATACAAATTGGATAATTCATATAAGTAAGTCCATAAATTACGTATTTAATATTAAGTTATCAAATTTTGATAACTGTAATTAGGACAAATGACATACCGACCTAATTTACATCTGATTTAGAAATCAGAAAATTAGATCTAAATAAAGAAAATCGGGGAGAAAATGTTTTGACACAAAAAGCTGCCATTGTGGGCTATAGCTACCCCCGCGGTACGAGATCTCTGGGTTGCCATCTGTATTGGGGAATGACAACAAATGTCAGTTTTATTAAAGAAATGACCCAAATCAGATGGTTATTGCTGTCTAGCCTAGGGCTTACTATTCTTTTAACTTGCTCATTTTTCATTTGTCCTTTTTTTCTCTCTGTTAAAATTGATAATGAAATGGTAACTTGTGAGAAAATTTTGATATATTAAGCATTGTGATTTTTATTAAAGTTACTGTTCACACGTCGTCTTTCAAATTCATTTTCTCTTTTTAATAATTTTTTTTTCTGAGCTCATTCATATTCCCATGCCTTGGCTTAGACTACTTAATATTACTATTAGTTTTGCTTTGGCTTTTCTTCAGCGATTCTTTGTATCTTTAATGACTAAAATGACAAATTCATCAAAGAGTGTATATGATATCGTGCTCAAGGATAGATTATTCCTTTATCAATTTGTCAGTATGATGAAGACCAAAAATGATGAATCATATAAGATGTGCTTTCTCAATGAGGAAGAAGTAAAATGAAAATTAATTTCTGATCACACTTTAATTTCTTTTATAATCTTGAAGCAAATCTGGTTGTAGGGGTATGTGATGGCCTTAATTTTGCTCTTGTCTTGCCCTCAGATGATAAACATGCATAGGAAGCCGTGTTCAATAGAGGGCATTGTCCCAGCATCCCTGGAATGTTTAGACCTAGAGACGGGAATCGATTGGAGCTCTCTTCCTGGATCCGATGCCATCAAATGTCTCCTGAAAGAATGTGCTTGGCAATGTTTCCATGGCGACAGACGTCTTGCCGAGCAGCAGTCGGAAGAACTTCTGGATGTGACGTGGGAGAAGCTCAACACAGGTTGGATATACTTTCTCTCTCGTTGATTTGGAGGCCCAAACATTTTCATCTTGTCCTTAACTCCTTAAAGCTACTTTGACTCGTCTAATATTTCCATAGCTCAATCAAAATATTCTTGTATCACACTCAAAGCCATCCAATATTTTATAATTATTTTCAATTTCATTGTTGTTCTTCTACATACTGCAGGTCACTGGAAGGATGTTCAGATTGCCTGGAGACATGTATTCTCCTTTGCCTCTCTTCTCAAGGTGCTGTGTATCTCGAGCAAGATGCCTCAAACACCAGAGATCGTACAGGTATAACACCCTTCTTTTGAACATTCATTAATTGCAAAGAAAGACCACCATTTTTTGAATTTGAGATCTCCAAAGAAGACACTGGGAATTTCTCATTTGCAATTCGATCATGATGTATGATATTGAAAATATAATCAAAGACTAACTGTAAGATTGTCACTTTGTGCCCGCTTCCTTGATTATTACTTGTTGCATTATCATACAAGTCATTTGTTTTTTCCACACATTGGAAAAAGCTATCCGGAATTCTCTGTAACCAGCAATCCCTCAAAATCTTGACCATCTAGAAACTCACTTATTCTATTTGATAACATCACTGGGAAGCACATTAATTTTTTTTTTATTTTTAAAATTATTATTTGTATTTGATCAGGACGCACTATCGGCCTGTGATCGAGGATTGCTGATGGGTGCTCCTATCATGAACGGGATCCTAACACAGCTTGCATCGTGTCTACATGCAGCAGGAGGGGTTGCTATGGAATGCAGAGAAGATGATGCAGATGGTATAGGGCTCAAAGGACAGGTTTGTGAGGAATAGAGATTCTTTTTAGTTTCTACCAGTAATCAAACTGTATCTTCTTTGATGAACTTATATGATTCCGTTTGTGTAGGTGGCAAAAGCGCGTTGCAATATTCTGCTAAATGCGGAACTGCACTATTGTGTTAAGCAGAAGGCCGTTAACATATAAACGTTTGTAACTTTAAAAAATAGGTTCTTATTAGGCACTTCGCAAACTAAATAGCTATCATCAATATTTACTTAAGTCTAAAATTTGAGATATCCCTGTCATTCATAAAAACAGGGTACAACATAATGTAGAGCAATCAAAACCGTAGAAGCAAGTTACCAGAAATTTGCTGAATAGAATGCCTTTTGCCAGCCTCACAACAATTGATTTATTGTTGGCCATGGGACAGAGGAGTAACCTTTAGCTGTCTGGTGGAGGTGTTGTGGTCGAGTGGAAACGTCGTGTCCCCGGTTTTAGTCATGCCACGGTACTAATGTTCTTTGACACACATTGATCTTCGTTTGCCACACTCAACCCAGGTGTTAAATGGGTACCCGGTAGGATTTGAAAGCCAGTGTGGTATGCTTAGCAATTTGAGCCTAGTAGCTCTTGTTGGAATACTCCCCAGGGAGTGGGAAAAGTGCATACATTGTGTGCAGGCAAGCCAAAATATGATGAACGGGGTAATAATGTAAAGCACTTAAAAACTCAGATATATTCCCAATGTATTAAGCGCTATATACCGTAAGCAGAAATATTATTATTATTTAAATATTATTATCGGTACTTTCAATCTTTTCACAGAAACACAAAAGAATGAAATTGGATCATCACCCTGAGCCCACTATCCATGCAGACCATGAAATACCCAGAGTGGTGTCCCCTTCTCTTCATGCTTTCCTGCTTGATAATATGGAGAAAGGATCACCAGTCCTCATAGAGGAGGCAATGAACCACTGGCCTGCTAGAAGTCACAGACGTTGGAGGTATGTCAGAGGTCATGACCTTTGCTTACCTTTGATGGATGAATGAAGCAAGATGATACCCAATTGAAGTATTTTAAAGGCCGTCTGTACTAGTTTGGCTAGGAGGGATTAGACCACACAGGGAGGTCACTGACATGTGGCAATCTCATCAACCCAGCTCTCAATTAACATAAGAGAAAGAGGATCATGAGGGACCAATGGTCACCGATTATGCATTGTTTTCTATAAAGAGGAAGCAAGTAGCTACAAGTAGTACCATGTGGCTTTAATTAGCATTACCGGTACATGTATGTATGTCATTATAGACTTATTGCTTACTTTCTTTTTCCTGTATTATAAACAGACTATGTTTTATCTTTCAAGTATGAATTGACTTACCGGGTACATTAAATAAGATGAAAAATTGCATGACATAAACTCCAGCAACATCTATTCTGCCGACAGAACACTATATTTTACATAATCCTCTCAAGAACCCTAACTGTAGACCTAAGATTCAACCCAACAGCAACCCAAACCTTATCCCTACATCTTTGATGAAACTATATCCTGGATCAAATTTTTAAAATCACTGTATTTACAAATTTGACCATGCTGAGATGATTAATCTGTATTGTCTGTATGTTTGATATTAATTGTAGCCTGTCTTACCTGCGTGCGATAGCAGGGAAGCGTACAGTACCGGTTGAGCTGGGATCCAAGTACACGGATGATAGTTGGTCACAGTCTATGATGACGCTTCAGGACTTCATCGATCACCACATTGACATTGAGAAGGTAAGGGGGTGGGGGGAGGGGGGGGATTCATCGATCACCACATTGACATTGAGAAGGTAAGGGGGTGGGGGGGGGGGGGGATTCATCGATCACCACATTGACATTGAGAAGGTAAGGGGGTGGGAGGGGGGATTCATCGATCACCACATTGACATTGAGAAGGTATGGAGGGAAATCTATAATGTACAAATCTGCCAACCAATTTAAATTGTTTCAGAATAGTCAAACCTGTCCCTACTCGTCTTAGGGTAGTGGTTCATTCATGTGACTTTTATTAATCAAGAGGTCAGGGTTTTGATTTCCAAAAACCTGGCACAAAGGCCCTTTGGCAAGACACTAATTCACATTTGCCGCTCTCCACCCAGGTGTAGTAAATGGCGGGAATCAATTCCTCACAATGTTAGAGCATCTTGATAGCAGCTGTGCTGAAGCCAGGGTAGAATTGCTGGAGCACCAGGAATGTTGTGCATGTGACAGAAATGAGCGCTTTACAAGAACACATTAAAGGCATCTTTTACCAATGTTAAATCTGAGATGCATGGCTCTACGTGTTATCAGTGTCTATAATATGATGTAATATTGAAGCTCTAAAAAAATTGCTCTACAAAATGATCATGAAGTGCCTCAAAAGATTAAAAATCTTTGAGTGACCAGTTTTACCACTCTCATTTTCCCCAATAGACTGTAGTGTAATAAAAACCATTAGGAAAACAAAATAATGAAATTTCAATTTCCAATCATAAATATCTAGATAATCAGACAGGCGATCAGCTTTTAAAAGTCATTGGATTCCTGACTGACCTAAAGGTTTATAATTATGATTGCAGCATGAGCTAAATCCAGGATTTTGTTTCAGAATCTGAGGCAATGTTACCTAGTCACATTAACAATTATCCTCATGTCGTTACCTCCCTCTCCACCTCCCATCTCTTCTGTGTCACAGGATTCAGGGTTTAGCCCTAGGGTGGGATACCTCGCACAACATCAGCTGTTTGATCAGGTAAAGCTTTCATTCCATGTACAATCATTTGCATGTGTTTTATGCCTTCCTTTTTAAATGTTTCTACACTTTCTTATGCTTTTGTTGTTTAGGAAAATAAATTGACTGAAATGAGAGAAAAAATAATGCTCAAGTATATGGGACGTAGTTTACTTCTTTTTTTTCTTGAAAAGGAAATAGGGTATTGTAATGTACAAATGTACAGGTATAATCAATTTTGTTTTGATTTTCTAAGGATTCATGGATGTTCTATTAAGTATGTTATTCTCTATGCTTTGTGAAGATTTTACTTATAAATGTATGACTCTTGATCACCACACCCCCTTTCACACACATTAACAACCATACAAACACAAACTTCACCCCCTTCCCCCCCCCCCCCCCCCCCCCCCCCCCCCCCCCCCCCCTAGCCCACCCATCTCACACCCCCTTCACGCCGACACACATGCTGCATGCACCTGTTCCGGTTTGTCCACCTGTACACGAGAGAGAATTAATAATACTAATAATAATAATAATACCCACATAATACCCACGTCCATTAAGGTAAAAATGCATCGATTTGTTCCCATTTCTGTAAGTGCATCCCCAGTTTCCCCTTTTTGAAGGCTATTTTGTATTCCTCGTCTCTGTAATTTTTAAGCATATGTACTGTTTTCTGTACAGATGGCAAAGTTCCTTCTTTTCTAGAAATAAAAATGATATACTTTACTAAAAATATGATACAATTTATTACAAATATTCTAGTAGTATTGCCGGATATTCCCATAAATATGGGTTTCCAATCATCAATGTCAATTTCGATTAAATGTAACTTTTGAATTACCTCCTGCCATAAACCTTTATTTAGACAGTTAAATACCCTCAATATTTATAGCCTAAATAAATATAAAAATGCTGTGTTTGTATTCAAATGTATTAAAGGTAATGCACCATCATCTTTTGCCACTATGTTCCAAACTAACTCTAAAATTCATAAATATAATACTCGAAATAGTCTAAAGTTACACATTTGGAATATTGATAAACAGTACATGCAACAATCGGTAAGGTATACAGGGCCCATAGTATGGAATTCTCTTCCATCCTCTCTTACTCAATATGTTTACTTAAACTCATTCAAGAAAAAACTTAAAATATATCTATTATCCCTATAATTTGTTTTAGTTTAACACCTATCTTAAAATAAAATATAATTTGTAAATAACCATAAGAGAGAAAGAAGGGGGAGGGGGGAGGTGGTGGTGGGGGTGGGGGATGGGAGGGAGGGAGGGAGGGAGGGGGGGGGGGGTAGAACAAATACATGCGCAATACTCATTATTATGTTATTATATCTGTGTAATTATTTTATTCATTTGGACGCCTGAATCAACAAGCTAACATAAGCTTCCTACAGGTGCTCCCTTTTCCTTTTACTCATTTTCACAGTTTGTTTAAATTAATTTAATTTAATGCTCATGATTTGTATATTTTAAACTGTTTGTACTTTATCACATGTATATATTTGTATGTTTTTTAACGGAAATAAAGTCTTTTGAATTGAAAATAATCTTTTAACTTTAAGACAATCTAAAAATAAAGGTTGGTATATCTCTACTTCTAGTCTACAAAAGGAACAAAAATGGTCTGACTCAAAACCAAATTTAAAGAGCTCTCTTTTCGTATATACAGCCCCTTGTAATTGTTTGTATTGAAACTCTCTATGTTTATTACAAAGCATTGCACCTTTCATCCTTGTGAATGTTTCTTTCAACTCTGTCATTCCAAGATCAAATTGACAGTTGCCATCTGTAACATGTAATGTATACTCTTTTTGAAGGTCTTCAATGAAGTAATCATATAACCGCCTAGATTTTATATCACATAGTTTCTGTAAACGTCCAAATATCATCAATTCTCAATATTTCAAAATTTTCAATGTCCACTTCCATAAAATCACTTTGTATCCATTCGTTTCTGATTGCTGAAAAGATCTTTTGAATTCTAAGCAAGCTTTTAGTTGCAAACCCAAATTTAAAAAATGTAAGATCGGTTTTAAATGACCTCTGACAATTGAAAAAAAAAATGTTTTATTGCTGAGACATATACACTTATTGCTAAATATAATCGGATTATTCTTATTTTCTCCAAAGTGTCTGCATTTATCTAATTCTTGCCATGCCTTCAACATGTCTTTATAAAAAGATGGTATACCCTTCAAGTCCATTTTATTTATATCATAATTACAAAGAAATATAATTCGACCCCCCAGTGATCTGAAAAAGTGGTCAAAGGTTACTTTCCAACCTGAATACTTTTCTCCATAGAGCAACCGTTTGATCCACATTATTCTCTGAGTCTTGATAAATATCTTAAAATTCGTTACTCTGAGTCCCCCAGCGCAGTAATCTTGATATAAAATTTTCCGTTTTATTCTGTCTCTCCCTCCCCAAATAAAATTAAAAGAAATCTTTTCGATTTCTTCAAAAATGTTTTGTGGGACTGTCATAAGAGACGAAACATAATTTAGTTTTGAAAATACATATATCTTCAACAATTTAATTTTGCCAAACATCGTTAAATCTCGTTGCTTCCACCAACCGATTAGTCTTTTGATTTTGCTCAAAATTTCCTTATAGTTCAAATCATCTTTTATTTTGGAATGACGTGTGAAATATACCCCTAGGATCTTTATATGTTGTACCCTATGTCCAAAAAAAGGTAAACCCGGCCTATCACTTTCCTCTCCTAACCACATAAAATTTGTCTTATCCATATTTATCTTCAATCCACTTATTTTTTCAAAGTTTTTGAAAACTTTCTTCACTTTATTAATTGAATCCATATCTTTTAAAAACAATGTAATATCATCTGCATACAAAACTTGCTTTATTTCTTTATTCCCGAATCCTACCCCTTTAATGCTCTCATCTTTCCTAATATAACGAGCTAGTAATTCGATAACTATTACAAATAAATATGGAGATAGGGGGTCGCCTTGTCTTACCCCTCTATTAATTCCAAAATATCCTGTTGAGTGTCCCCCGTTCATCACGCAACTGCTAACATTAGTGTAGAGGGTTTTAACCCAAGAACACAAAACTTTACCAAACCCAAACTGTTCCAAAGCTTTAAATAAAAGTTTATGGGAAATGCAATCGAAAGCCTTTTCAAAATCTACGGCAATTAAAAAGCCTACAGGTTGATACAAGGACTGAAAGAATGTATCATCAATTAACCGAACCGCTTCCCCAATATTCCGATCTTTAACATAGCCCACCTGATCGTAATGAATAATATCCTCCAATACCTCCTTTACCCTTGTAGCTAATACTTTCGACAATATTTTATAATCTACATTTAAGAGAGTAATTGGCCTATATAGTTTTTCATGAACAAAGGGTCTTTGCCTTCTTTCTCAATTAGTGTAATTACCCCCTGTCTCTGAGTTAGATAACATTTTTGTTTCAAAATCTTCATTAAAAGCCTCCACTATTGTTTTCCCTAAAATCGGCCAGAACGTGAAATAAAACTCAGTCGAGAAGCCGTCATTGCCTGGTGATTTGTTCCATTTCATTTCCTTTACTGCCTGATAGCATTCTGCCAGTGTTATTTTGCCTTCACAATACTCTTTATTTTCTTTACTTAATTTGGGTAATTCATTTAAGAACATATTTTCAATATCCTCTGTAATTTCACCATTTTTACATGCATATAAATTCTCGTAAAACTCCCTAATAATCTTCAAAATCCCTTTGCCATCCCTCACAGTTTCCTTATTTTCATTATATATCTCCTTAATCACACTTTTCCTTTTATTTGACTTTAGTAATTGTTCAAAAAAATTTGAATTTTTTTCTCCTTCTTCAGACCATTCTGCCCTTGAACGGACTTTTAACCCTTGACGTGAATAGTCGAAAAGCTTCTCTAATTCCATTTTTTTCATGTCAATTTCATCCTGAATACTTTTATGACAATTAATGTTGATCTTCAATCGATATTCCAGGTCTTTAATTTCTTTTTCCAATTTTTCCATGTGGACTCTCTTCTGATTTTTGCTCTTTCACGGGAGAATTTCATTATATATTCTCTTAATTTCAATTTCATAAAATCCCAAAATTTAATTTTGCTCGTTATTTGATTCCGCCAAGTTTCCTCTATTTCAGAAATTTTCTTTTTTACCCCATCTACAAAATCTTTTTCATTACATAGACTACTATTAAACTTCCAATACGATTTCCCATAAACAAAATTATCGACTAAATTGTTAAATTCTATTCTAACTCCAGCATGGTCAGGTGTAATAGAAGGCAAAATTTCAGACTTTCTTATCAACTTGTCTACTTTCGAAGAAATGAAGATATAATCCAATCTTCTCTGAACTAATGGCTGCTTCTGTCTGAAAGTGAATTCTTTCTTATTAGGATGACGCTTACGCCACACGTCAATTAAATCAAGCTTATCTAGAAAGTCTAATAATGAGTCCCTATATTTGCTTTTCGAAATATTACTTGCACCCATGTAATCCAAATTATGATTCATAATAACATTGAAGTCTCCTCCAATTATCAAGGAATATTCTTGACTAAATACAGAACAAATTATTTTATTTAGATCAGACAGAAAATCACATTGGGCGTTTTCTTTATTCCTTGTGGGAAAGTACACACTTCCTAATATTAGCTTTTCGCCTTGACATTTGCCTTTAATGATGACGTATCTTCCCCCTTCGTCAATTAAGGTTTTTTCCACAACAAAAGTAATACCTGGTTTAAACATTACAATAACCCCCCTACTGTGGTTACTCCTGTGGCTAAAAAACATTGAGCCTTCCCAATCACCCTTCCAACTGTATTCAATGTCTTCTGTGCTAAAGGTTTCCTACAAGAATATCATATTTGCCGACATTTTGCACCACTGAAAAATCTCCCAGTCCTCTGACATTAACTGAGAGTAATCTATACCAGTAACAAAGAACCTTTAGAAATGTACATAGTGGTGACAGTTTCACAGTAGATGGG